TGGGAAGCACAGCTGTGGGAAAACCCAGGGTATATTTAGTGTGGCCCCATTTGAGCTGGGCAAGTCTGTCACTGGGTCCCGGCAAAGTATCCCTTGCTATTTGTGTGCCATGGCCAGTGTGTGTCCTCCCAAGACGAAGAAGGCTCGGGCTCTCTGAGACAACCTTGTCACTGGGGGCCTTTTGCCTCAGACCCTGGTCCTTAAACCAGGATGCTGCTAGAAGGAGGCTGAAGGATAAGCAGAGAGGAGTGACTCCCAGCATAATGGATAGCTCGGGACACGAATGGCAATGATGACAGAAAGCTCCTCGTAGAATTGGGATCTGCCTCTGCTCCCAGGACAGTCAAGGGAAAGCACCCAGACCAGGACCCCGCCAGCAGCATCCCCCTCCTCGGGGGGCATCGCAGCCGCAGGACCTTAGGACAGGCGAGCTTCTTTCTCTGAGTCCCAGCTCCCTCCACTGTAAAACAGACACAATCTGCCCAATACTTCCGAGATGTTGAGGATAACACTGAATGAGCTGTGGGCATCTTTTGGAATCCTGGAGCGCTGGGCTTTATAAGGAATCATCATCCGTGAAAGTTCTGGTTTGAGGGGCGCTTCTCACTGTAGTTCTTATCAGGTTGAATTTCCACAACCGAAGGAGTCAGTTGGGTTGGAAAAGTCAGAAAACATTGATTTTTATACTTCTTGTGTGCCATGTGTTGTTCTAGCTGTTTTACATGTTATTTTTTAATCATCTAAAACCCTGCAGTATTACCATGCATTAGACTGATGATGTAGACATCATACTTTTCAGTATTATGTTACCATCAGTTTAGAGGAGAGAACACTGAGGCTTCCTTTGGGAAGCTTGCTTCAGATCACACAGCCAGGGCCATGTGTTGAGAATGCCAGTTTCCATCTGTCCCTTTGTATCTTATCTAAGTCCACATGAGAGTGAGCATAAACTGATAGAGTCTAGAGGCCAGAGATGAGCCAGAATAATTTGTTTGGCTTTGGAATGAATTGAAATACACACACACACACACACACACACACACACACACACACACGTGTTGCCCTTTTCACCTGGCTTGTCTCTGTTCTGCTTTAGTTTTTCTCAGTTGCCAGGGATCTAGGATGTGGGTCAGCTGACAGTGTGTTTGTCCTGGAGCGGTCACCATGGGCACCGTTGGAGGACACTGGTTCCCTTTGAAGAGATGCCTATGTAACATCCCGGCCTTGTCATCGGAAGGCCTGGGCATGAGCTCTGGGTCTGCCCACACTGGCCCCATGACGTTAGCCAAGTCACTTCCCCTTAGTTAAGTCTCTCCTGGTCTCTACACCAGTACAGTGGAGTGGCGAGTTGGAATTGGGTCCCACCTTGCTGGTCTGAGAACAGGCTTGTTCTGAACATTCATTCCCAATCATTTCCATCTTCCCTTCATTCTTGCAGTAGGGCTTTGGGGAACAAAACACAGGGCCAGAGGCAATGAGTGACACCAGAACTAAATGTCTGCCGATCAGCCGGTTCCTCCCAGGTTCACTCACTCATCTCCTGGAGGGGGTGCAACGAAAGCTTGTCCTCAATTTACTTTGAGATATATCCCTTGATATTTTTAAGCAATGCATTTGTATTCCTAACAGTATTTGCCTCAGGTCATATAAAAATGAGTCCATAACCCTTGGGTGAGGCCCAGACTCCATTGGTTCTTTGGCTGCTGATAAACCCATCACGTAATTGAGCCCAAGTGGATTAATGTGAGTCAGTTCTCATGCCAGCCTCATACAAATGTTCTCATTGATAATAATGGTTGTATAAAGTATTTTTACCTATTATCTCTTTAAAACTACCCAAAGTCCTGTGATGATACCATGACTCCCCCTAGAGACCAATGAGGAAGTGGGGCTTCAGACGAGGCACACTAGCCTGAGGCCGGGATCCCCTCCACAGCTGCCGGTGGAACCAGTGAGCTGCCTGGTGGGAGGCAGCTGCCGGGCCACCCTTTCATGCATACTTCTGAGCTCCCAGGGGAGGGAGGGACAGATAGGCTTTTAGTCCCCAATGGCTGAGACCCACAGGGTGACTTGGCTTTGCCAAACCCCTAGACCAGGAAACAGGGGCTGTGGGAAGAACCCAGAGAAGGTGGGGTTGAAGAGGAGACTGCCACAGGCTTGAAGGGGAGTACGCTGGAGTTGGTGAGGTTCCCGTAGCATCTAGGAATTTGAGCCCATCTGCACGAAGCTCTGTAAGGCTGGGGACTCGCTGAGATTGCAGAGGCAGGAACAGGGAGTGCTGTTGAAAGACAAAAACATTTTGTCTTTGAGCCTTCTCAGTCTGTGCGAGACAGGAAATTCCTCAACTCTCCCGAGGCAGCCAGCTTTCCTGACTGCTGCAGCCTAGTGAGAGAAACAAGATAGATCTATCCTTTTCCAATCGTGTGTCCCCCAAGCCCACTCCCGGAGCCTCCGCCAAGGCCCCTGGCAGCCCTCCGTCAAAGGCTGCGATGCTGAGTCAGGAGCACCGGAGAACAGCAGGGGCCTGAGAGCCCCATCTTCCAAGGGTACCGTCGGGGGGTACCTGCTTTCACACTCAGGCTCCATGCCCTTCAATTGCACCTGCTTTGGGGGAAGTTTTCCTCCAGTGTCTTGGGCCTTCCCAGTCTCTCCCTATCCAGGTTCCCAGAGGCTGGGCTAGGAGAGTTCTACAGTAGGCCTGCTTTCATTTTCAGTGTCAACCGATAAAAATTCAGTGGCAACTTTGGAGGTGAGACCTGCCCAGATACATTACATACCCTGGAAACCTCCCCTATGACTCTGCTTCTTGAAGAAGGTCTAGTATTTGTGGTCTTGTGTTGATAAGAACCCAAAATGCCAGCAACCCTTTCCCCAGAAACTTAGGGTTTAAGTTAGAGATATCCTAACCCTCCCCTTCTCAACAGCCGCACCTGCCAAAAACAAAAACAAAAAACGCTAAAATGGCATTGCTGAGATTCAAGCTGCCTGGCTCACAGGACCAAGGGAGAGACCAGAGGCTGGGCAGCCATGGCTTGTCCTGCACCAGGATTGTCCTTTGTGAGAGGTGGACAGCAGGGCCAGCCACTCTGCAGCCCCCTCCCCTTCAGCTCCCGTGAGGCGGAGATTCGAAGAATGAGGAAAGGCTGTTCACCCACCTCCACAAGAAACTGAATGCGAGTGAGGGGCCAGGCCTCTCACCCTCCTTGACTTGCCGACACACCCCCTCTCTCAAATAAATTGATTTTTTCTCCCAGTTTTTATTGAGGTATTATCGATGTACAATAAACTACATAGATTTAAGGTGTTCAATTTGATAAGTTTTGCCATATGCACACACATGAAACCTTTGCCATGATTTTTTAAAGTGAACTTCTCATTGCCCCCAAATGTTTCCTCATGCCCCTTTATAATCCAACCCCCCGTCCCCTGCCCCACGCCACTCCTGATCTGCTTTCTGTCACTGGACTTTGCATTTTCTAGAATTTTATATAAATGGAGTCATCCAATATGTACTCTCTCTTTGTCTGGCTTCCTTTTTTTGTTTGTTTGTTTTTGTTTTTGAGACAGAGTCTTGCTCTGTCTCCCAGGCTGGAGTGCAGTGGTGTGGTCATGACTCACTGCAGCCTCAACCTTCCAGGCTCAAGTGATCTCCCACCTCAGCCCCCCGAGTAGCTGGGACTACAGCTTGGTGTCTTTCATTCAACGCAATTATTGTGCGATTCATCCCTGTTGTGGTACCCTCAGTAGTTCATTCTTTTTTGTTGCTGAGTAATATTCCATTGTGTGGATATATCACAATTTGTTTATTTACTCACCTGTCGATGGACATTTGGGTCATTTCTAGTTTGCAGCTATTTTGAATGAAGCTGCTCTGAACGCTTGGGTACAAGACTTTGTATGGATATGTGCTTGCATTTCCCTCGCGGACATACCCAGGAGTGGCATGACTAGATCCTAAGGGAAGTATATGTTTAACTTTTTAAGAAACTGCCAAACTGTTTTCAGGAGGTTCTGTACCACCTGCCACACGTATGAGAGTTGCAAGTTCCTCCACATCCTTGTCAAGACCAATTCCTGGGATGTGATGTCTTTTTCTTTTTTTTTTTTTTTTTTGAGACGGAGTCTGTCTCTGTCGCCCGGGCTGGAGTGCAGTGGCCGGATCTCAGCTCACTGCAAGCTCCGCTCCCTGGGTTTACGCCATTCTCCTGCCTCAGCCTCCCGAGTAGCTGGGACTACAGGCGCCCGCCGCCTCGCCCGGCTAGTTTTTTGTATTTTTTAGTAGAGACGGGGTTTCACCGTGTTCGCCAGGATGGTCTCGATCTCCTGACCTCGTGATCCGCCCGTCTCGGCCTCCCAAAGTGCTGGGATTACAGGCTTGAGCCACCGCGCCCGGCCGTCTTTTTCTTTTTAGCCGTTCTAATGAGTGTGGTGTCTTTGGCTTTCATGAGGTGCTTAAAACCTCCTAGGATGGGAATGGAGCACCATATAATTATAGAAAATGATAGAGAAGCTCTTCAGTTCTGTCTTAAGAAGAAAATAAATGCCTGTTTGCTTCTATATGTTACACACACAGATCATCTCTGGCAAGATGAACAAGAAACTGAAAACTCGTTGCCTCTGAGGAGAGATGACTTGTGGCCGGAGGATGGGCGGGGGAGGGAGACTTCCCATACTCTTTGGTACCTTTTGAATTTTGTACCATGTGAGTGTATCATTTATTTGAAAAAATCAATAAAATGTTTTAAAAACTCACAAACTTATAAAAGCTCATTGTTCATTCTTGGCTATCAGGCAAGAACGTTGTCATTGCCAAGCAGAGAAATGGGAGGCATCTTGTTCCTAATGATCTCTAGGAACTCCAAACACTCTTTATCTGTTAGCTGCCAGTTTCTGGTGGGAACCTGAGCATCAACACCGTCGTGTACCAAGTGGTCATTCAGTCTGTGTTTGTTGAATGAATGCATGAATGTTCACCCCACGTTCTGTTTTCTACCACACAGAAAGGAAGAGTAGCGGGAAGAGTGAGTACCTTCTGCCTGTGGCCCCCAGCAAGCCCACTGCACCCATCTTCCTGCAGGGCCTCTCTGATCTCAAAGTCATGGATGGAAGCCAGGTCACTATGACAGTCCAAGTGTCAGGTCTGTCTCTGCAGCTGTCTCTCAGGGATTCACATGAAAATTGGTTGCAATGAGTATTGCTCTCCAAGGACCTGCTCACATCATTGATCCACCAGAAAATCAGATGGGACCATCAAACGATGGACCCAAAGAAATGGAGACTCTTGTCCTCTCTTTTCTGCCTTCTCTGGGTAGGATTTTCTGGATTCATGATTAAATGGTCCAGAGGAAGAGGATGGCCATATAGCTAGAGCAGTAAGAGATTAATTTGAAGATATAGTGTGGCCAGTGTTGCTGGAAGGTAATTTGAAGACTGGTACAAAACCAAATTATGGGCTGGGCGCGGTGGCTCACGCCTGTAATCCCAGCACTTTGGGAGGCCGAGGCGACAATGGATCACGAGGTCAGTAGGTTGAGACTGTCCTGGCTAACACGGTGAAACCCCATCTCTACTAAAAAATCCAAAAAATTAGCTGGGTGTGGTGGCAGGCACCTGTAGTCCTAGCTACTCGGGAGGCTGAGGCAGGAGAATGGCGTGAACCCAGGAGGTGGAGCTTGCAGTGAGCTGAGATTGTGCCACTGCACTCCAGCCTGGGTGACAGAGCGAGACTCCGTCTCAAAAAAAAAAAAAAAAAAACTGTGAGAACTTCCCAAATCTCAGAAGATGTTCTCAGTTGCTCTATTCAAATTTTAAGGTCCTCCCGACAAACCCACGAGGTAGATCCTGTTCGAATTCCTATTTTACGGATGGGGAAGTGGAAGCATAGAAAGTTGTTGGAGTGTTTCATCCAACATCACTGTATTAAGTGCAGAGTTGCTGCATGGCCGGGGAGGACCTCCCTAACCAATCCCCCTTCCCTTCCTCCTGGTTCAGGGAATCCACCCCCTGAGGTCATCTGGCTGCACAACGGGAATGAGATCCAAGAGTCAGAGGACTTCCACTTTGAACAGAGAGGCACTCAGCACAGCCTTTGTATCCAGGAAGTGTTCCCGGAGGACACGGGCACATACACCTGCGAGGCCTGGAACAGCGCCGGAGAGGTCCGCACCCAGGCCGTGCTCACGGTACAAGGTGAGGCTGACCCACTCAGAGCGAGTGGGAAGGAGGAGCTGTTGCAGCCTCTCCAGAAGTGTTTTGGAGGCAAGGAAACCACATGAGGCTACTTTGTTCCCACTGTGGGCCGTCTGCTCCCTCAGTCCTACCCCAGCCCCGGAGGCCAGCTCCCTGTCCAACATCACAAGCTCTGACTGAGTGGGGCTGCCCTTCCCAGCTTTCTGAAGTCCCTGCCCTCTCTGAGTTTACTGGTGCCAAGGTGCATAGAGTACTAAGAGGGAAATCTGTAATATACTTAACAATTTGGCAGTAATAACTTTTGAGGTGAGTTACGGGCTTAACAGGGTCCTTGCCATTAGACAACAATATTTAAGAGGAGAGACAAGTTAAGCACACATAAAGTGAGTGACAACTCTTAATCACACACATTGGATACAGATCATTAGCACCTGGCTTGGTGCCCCTGTGCCTTCTGGGCTGCCTCCCCTTACTTTGGATATACAGTCATGCTCATATTATCCTCTGAGAATGTATCCGAGATGGATGTGCAACGAGAAGGGTGTGCTGCATTTGTGTGTCCAATCACAGTGATTTTGGACAAGCTGTTACTTGGGTGACATGCTATCTTCCCACCCTTCACCATGGAGAATTGAGTGGACACTGCCTGCTGAGGGGTCTCCCTGTTTAGCTCTTCCCTTTGCCAACTTCCAGAGCCTCACGATGGCACCCAGCCCTGGTTCATCAGTAAGCCTCGCTCGGTGACAGCCTCCCTGGGCCAGAGTGTCCTCATCTCCTGCGCCATAGCTGGTGACCCCTTTCCTACCGTGCACTGGCTCCGAGATGGCAAAGCCCTCTCCAAAGACACTGGCCACTACGAGGTGCTTCAGAATGAGGACGTGTTCACCCTGGTTCTAAAGAAGGTGCAGCCCTGGCATGCCGGCCGGTATGAGATCCTGCTCAAGTGAGTCTGCATGTCCGGCCAGCCTCCCTTAACCCTTCCCTCCAAATTCCTAGCTCCCCTAACCTGGGTCTGGGCAGCCAGAAGAAGCACAAACCAATGTGGGGCTTGGACTTCCAGGTAAAGCAAGTGCAGGCTCGGTGCTGCTCACAAGCTTTTGCTTCTTCCACTTCAGTAGAGCAAGTGTTCATTAGAACCTTCCCTTTTGAGCTCAGTTCCCCAGAATCCTGTCTTGTCGCGTCCTTGTTCCCCCATTATGTGGCCTATGGTGAGTATGAAGGAAGGAGGAATGGATTAAAGTTGGAAAAGCAGGGGGAGAGAGGGAACGCATTTGTTATCTATTGCCGTGTAACAAATTACCCTGAAACTTAGCAGCTTGAGACGTTTATCATCTCCCAGCCGGGAATTTGGAAGCAGCTTGGCTGGATGATTTTGCAGTTTCAGTCAGGATGTCGGCAGGGGCTGCAGTCTCGGAGGCTTGACTGACACTGGAGGACCTGCATCCAAGGCTCACTCCCGTGACTGTGGCAGGAAGCTTAGCTCCTCACTGGCTGCTGGCAGGAGGCCTCAGCTCCTCACTGGCTGTTGGTGGGAGGACTCAGTTCCTTGCCTTGTGGACCTCTCCGTGGGGCTGCTTGAGTGTCTTTACGGCATGGCAGCTGGCTTCCCCAGAGCTAGTGATCGAAGAGGGAGCCCAGGTCGGAGCTTGCAGTGTCTTTTAAGACCTACCCTTGGAAGCCACACACCATCACTTCCGACTTTGTTAGAAGTGAGTCACTAAGTACAGTCCATACTCAAGGGGAGGTAAATTCAGTTCCACCTCTTGGAGAGAAGAATTTGCAGATATTTTAAAACTGCCACAAGGAGGTTACCTTTCCCCATTACTTTTTTCTCTCCTTTTCAAGGTCTTGCTAGGTTACGTGGGCAGGTCAGCTCCATAAGGCACACTGCTACATGTCCAGGCCTAGAACAGTGGTGAGCCCATAGTCCACATTGGACTAATGGATAATCTAATGAATAATCTAATGAATAATCATATTCATTAGATGAGTATGATTCAGAAGTGCTCTTTTACCTGGAAAATGCTCTGTCTCTTAAAATCCTATGCCAGCCCTGGATTGAGGGAGACAGAATGCCTTCTGTGGGTCCTGGGGTTCGTGAAAGCATCAAAGAAGAGCATTTGTCTGCACCTAACCTACAAATAGGAGGCCGTACCACATCCTGAGGATGGTTAGACCTGTCCTGGCCCGGGTGCCTGACCACTTTGCAAGGGGCTTTCTCTCCTGTACTTTATCATCTCCCCATACTGAGCCCATCATGTTCACAGCTCTGAGCTACAAATAGGCTCTAGATCTAAATGCCAAGGCTACTGCAACACCCAATATGTACCCCATCCCCTTAGGTCCTTTGTGACCATGTGCTTTATACCTGTATCAGTTATCTTTTGCTGCAAAACAAACCACCCCAATACTTAATAACTATTAAAAATAGCTACTTTTTAAAAAGCAGTTTTTTTATTTCTTAAGAGTCTTTGGATCTCCTATAAAGTTCTGCTGATTTAGGCAAGGCTAATCTCAGCTGAGCTCAATGACATGCCTGTTGCAGTCAGCTGATGGGATGCTTGTGGGCTGCTGGTCACCCTACTGTTATTAGCAGTCCACTCAGAACGCATCAACTGCCTTTGCCTTATGCTTGAACTAGTTATTACCAGGAACTAGTTATTACCAGGAAGGCCACTCTGCCTCCAAAATGGGGAGAAGGTACACGCTTACTCCCTAGGTCAGTACAAAGAATGGAAACCGGTGATGTGTAAAAATACCTGCTGATGATCTTGTCTGTATAGAAGGAGAAGCACTTTGAGATAATACTTATGTTACTCAAGCCAGACATCCTAGAGGAGATGAGCTTGTTTTGGGATTTTGATGGAAAAGGAGGGTTGAGTCTTGGCAAATGTGATAAGGCTTAGCTGTTGAGTAGGCCGAGCAAGAAAGGGTGGGGTGGAGGCAGAGCCAAGCAAAGGGCTGTGGGAAGTTTGCCAGGCCAGAGAGGAGGCGTGCACCAGGAGGTCGGCAGGTAGACTGTCTGGGGCCAGCTGGGGACAGTCATAAAATTTAGACTATCCCAGCTGGAAGGGGCCTCAGAAGTTATCTAACCTCATCATCATTTAATAATGGGGGAAACTGAGATCTCAGGGTTATGGATTTGCTCGTGGCCACCCAAAGGCAAGTAACAGAGCCCAAGTTCAAGCCCTCATCTTTTGACTGAAATCAGATGCTCTTCCATTCCTTATGGCTCTGCATGGAGAGTTTCTCCCAAGTGCACAGGGAACTGGGAGGACCTGGGAAACCACACGAGAGCCTCCACCTGTGCAGCCTTTGCCTCTTTTTCTTCCCCGAAGTCCAACCTCTTCATTCCTTTCAGAGGCCACTGCCCTGGCCTTGACTTTGTCCCCACCTAAGAAGAAGCAAGTCTGTGGAGAGTTTCCTAAGCGTACGTGGCAGGCCTGCCAGAGACCTCGCTCCTTCAGCGACTTGGACCCAGGGCAGGGTGCCTTTCGAGGGGAACGACTGGATGGCTGGGAGGAAGCCGGGGGTCTGGTGTGCAGGGGCAGAGGACTGGGGAGATCCTGCCTGTCCCTGCTAGGTTTGTGAGGCAAGTATGGGTGGGTAGTTTCTGCCTCTCTTCCCTTCCTAGCTCTTGTACACTGAACCAAAAGGGAAATGACAAAATGTCAGCTCAAAATTCCAGCTGGAATACTTGAAACACTTGATACTTGCCAGGAAATTAGTGTTTTTTTTTTTTTTTTTTTTTCCCGAGACGGAGTCTCGCTCTGTCGCCCAGGCTGGAGTGCAGTGGTGCGATCTTGACTTATTGCAAGCTCCGCCTCATTCTCCTGCCTCAGCCTCCCGAGTAGCTGGGACTACAGGTGCCCGCCACCACGCCCGGCTAATTTTTTGTATTTTTAGTAGAGACAGGGTTTCACCATGTTAGCCAGGATGGTCTTGATCTCCTGATCTCATGATCCGCCTGCCTCGGCCTCCCAAAGTGCTGGGATTACAGGTGTGAGCCACCGCGCCTGGTCGAAATTAGTTCTTTAAACTGATTTTTCCATATAAAACCCATCCAAGAGGTAGACGATTCAGGGTGGGACAGGATCCAAGGCTTTGTAACCAATGGGACTCTTATTCAGGGCTTCATTAGCAGAGGCAAAAGGACTCTGTTTGTCTGTGAAAGTTTCAGTATGTAGGATGACAGCCCTGTATGCTCTGTGGCAGCTCCTGGGATGCGGCCTCATCTTCAGCCCCAGCCCTGATTTTGTAATGGGGTGTGTGCAGTTGTCGAAGATGGCCCCAAGACCCTGTTCCAGCAGCTTAGGTGATCTGACGTGTGGGTCCCACGCAGGAGGCCACTATGAACTTTGTAGGCTGCAAATGAACCTACGGTTTGTCTTTAAGGCCCAGCAGAGATTTCAGTGTATGGCTGTAGGAATGGTTACCACCAGATCACCCCACCACCGGATGTTCCCCTTAATGGGTCAGCGTTGGTATCCCAAGTCCTCCACCTTCCTCTGACCCCTTAGCCTGCTGGGTGCCACAGGGCAAGGCCTGGGGCTGGACTGGGCAGGAGCCCTTCAGAGGCTTATCTGAGTCTGTGCCCCCCAGCTTGAGCACAGGTCATGGGAAGTGACAGAAGCCCTTACCTGCTTCCCCCGTGGGGAGAGTCGGCTTCCTCCAGCTTGGGGCACAGGGCTGGCCACTGCCAAAGCCTCAGAGGAGTCCAGCTGGGGTAAAGCAGCCATCTGGGCAGCGTCTGCTCCTGATGTTCACATCTGGGCTGTGTTCTACTGGTGACAGGAGAAACTCTGCTGAGGAGATGCTGAAAGGCCTGCCAGGCAGACACAGCCCTCGGACATCTCATCTTCCTGCTCCATGTCAACCCAAGCACCCACAAGGCTGTGCTTAAAAATAGGAAAAGAATGGCCTGACCCTGGCCAGCAGCCTGGCAGAAGCAGGGTGACTTCACATGGTTATTCTACAAGCTCACCCAAAGCCCATAAGCCTTTCTGAGTGTTGAGCGCCTGGGGCACACTGAGAACCTCTTAGTCTTCCCAGGGCCTGGCACCCATGAGGTTTCTAACCACTGTTTGTTGAGCAAAAGAACACCCTGAACTCAAAATTCTCCAGACTTGAGACTCCCTGCCCTTGAGTCTGTGCCCTCTGAGAGTCTGAGCATTGAGGAGGGTGGCTGGGAGTCTATGGGATGCATGGCCAGGGAGGAGAGAGGAGTGAAAGAGCTAAGGCAGCCAGGAAGGTACCTGCACCAGCACTGCCTGGGACAGCACGAGGGCACTGGGGAGACGGACAAAGGAGAGGAGCCCAGCAGGCAAGAGGAGGGCTGGAGGATAGCAACGATTGGTTTCTCCTTGTTTCAAGTGGGTGTCAGCGCCCAAGGGTGAGTGGTGCCCCAGAGCCCGTGAGAATCCTGTGCTAGGCCATGGGCTTCCAGTGTTTGTCCACTGGGAGGGAGGCCTTGTAGAGTGAGGTGGAGACCCACACACACCAGCAGAATGCACAAGAACGCATGCTCAGATGCCTGTCTGGGTGGGTGTAACTCATATGTGCACATATTCCCAAACATGGACCTCCAGGTGCAGGTGCCCACCAGCTAGACCAGTATATGTGTGCATCATGTGTATGACTGATATCTACATATGCGCATGGACACACACATGTCCCAGACCAGATTTGTACTGATAAGCAGAGTAGGGTGGGGTGCAAACGTCATAGGGTCACAGTTCCTAACCCCTGCCTCCACTAGCAAGCTCTGTGAGTTTAGGCAAATTACTTAACCTTGACCTTTAGTATGATGATTTTTTAATAGAGGTGAGCTCTTGCTATGTTGCCCAGGCTGGTGTCAAACTTGTGAGCTCAAGCAATCCTCCCACTTCAGCCTCCCAAAGTGCTGGGATTACAGGCGTGAACCACTGTGCCTGGACTACTTTATCTTTATAAGTCTCATTTTTCTTACCTTATAAAAACAGTGCTGACTCTAATCTCACAGAGCTGTTCTGAGATTAAATGAGATGGCTTATGTAAAGAATCTGTCACAGAGCTTGGCACATCTGCTATTGGGTCTGAGTGCTAGTGAGACGGCCACATCCAGGGGCATGAGTGGGAGCACTGTTGTCAGAGACCCTGAGGGTCCCACCCCAGAGCCCCTTTCCTTATTTTTAAATTGGGCATGGCAGTACTCTATACCTCTCTGGCATGCTGTGGATATCAAGAAAGAACTGTGTGTGGGTGTCATGAAAGCTGAAGGGTGCTGTATGAAATGCAATTGTTATAACCATCACTAGTCATCTCTGGCTCACAGACCTGCCTCCACCCCTTCCCCTAGCCTGAGCAGAACCTTCTTGGCCGGTCAAAGCTCAGAAATGCCAGCAGGTGGCAGCCTTATGGGGTTGGAGGGACAATCTGCTGCAAATGCACTGCACTGCAGCCAGGCAGGGTACAGCCCCTCCTCTAAGCAGAGGGCCTGAGCCTCTGTGCACCAGCAGGAGACTGAGTAGGTTCATGGACACGAAAAAACCTGAGCCCTCCCCACCTGAAGGGAGAAGAGAAAGGGCCAGTCATGTAGGAGAACACTTGTTGGGTTTTTAACACAAGAAGTTCTGATCTGAGAGCATTATCAATGAGTGGGGGTGGAGGTGCTTCCATTCCTGGGAAGGAGAGGGAAAGGAACTACCCTCTGTGTTAAGGGATCATGGAGTCAGAGTCAAGGTCACTGGGCAGGCCCACCACCAGGGCCTATCTGTCTAGACCCAGCTGCTCTATCACAGTCCCCAGCAGGGTTAGCCTTTCTCCTTCCCCTTTTATTGGTTGAGTGACTGATTGATTGAATGATTACATTATATACTTACAGAAAAGTATTCCTACTTCTGGATGCCTGCCTTAGCTGTTGTCCAGAGATTCTGTTTTTCTTCTTTTTAAATAAGAGCTGAGAAAATAAAGGGTGACCACAGAGTGAGAGGGTCCTGCCCTAAATCTAGGGCTGGGGTGAATGTCACAGCCAAGCCGTCGACTTCCATCTTCCCTGGTGGCCAGCAGCCTGTGATCAAGTCCACACTGAACAGGCCCTTTGCCCAGAGGGCCTCTTGATCTTTATTGATCTTTGGAATTCCTCAGGAACCGGGTTGGCGAATGCAGTTGCCAGGTGTCACTGATGCTACAGAACAGCCCTGCCGGAGCCCTTCCACGGTGAGTGCCCCCAAGAGCTGCCTCACCAGGCCATGCCCGCATCCCCACCGTCCTCCAGGCCCCAGCAGCCCCCGCCCAGCAGCCCTAGATTGTTTGTGTCCTGCAGTTGAGGCTGCCAAAGCCAGAAGGGAGAGCCTGGAAGGCGAATGAGGGAGGGAGAGCAGGGGAAGGAGGGAGGGATTTTTTTTTTTTTTTTTTTTGCACACACCCTTATAAGGCTACTGAAGTCATTACCGATGTAATAAACCAACTAAGCAAGCGAGCGCCTCTCACCAATGTTCCCATCTATAAACACAGCCTGGCCGGCCTTCCCCCTCCCCTCCCGCTCCCCTCTACCCTCCCACCCTCAGGGATTTGCTCTCCCCTGACGTTTCTTTCTTACCCAGCCCCTTTTCCTCCTGCTACTTTCCTTTCTTCCTTCACTGGTTGCAGGGGGAGGGAGCCTGCCAGCTGTGAGGGCCTCTGTGGTGGAGGAGTTGGTGCTGATGGTGGTGGTAGTGACCGCTATGGGACCCTGAGGCCTGGCTGGCCAGCAAGAGGGCAGGGTTGGCCAGAGGAGGAAGACGGCGAGGACGTGCGAGGGGTGCTAAAGAGGCGCGTGGAGACGAGGCAGCACACCGAGGAGGCGATCCGCCAGCAGGAGGTGGAGCAGCTGGACTTCCGAGACCTCCTGGGGAAGAAGGTGAGTACCAAGACCCTATCGGAAGACGACCTGAAGGAGATCCCAGCCGAGCAGATGGATTTCCGTGCCAACCTGCAGCGGCAAGTGAAGCCAAAGACTGTGTCCGAGGAAGAGAGGAAGGTGCACAGCCCCCAGCAGGTCGATTTCCGCTCTGTCCTGGCCAAGAAGGGGACTCCCAAGACCCCTGTGCCTGAGAAGGTGCCACCACCGAAACCTGCCACCCCGGATTTTCGCTCAGTGCTGGGTGGCAAGAAGAAATTACCAGCGGAGAATGGTAGCAGCAGTGCTGAGACCCTGAATGCCAAGGCCGTGGAAAGTTCCAAGCCCCTGAGCAATGCACAACCTTCAGGGCCCTTGAAACCCATGGGCAACGCCAAGCCTGCTGAGACCCTGAAGCCCATGGGCAACGCCAAGCCTGCTGAGACCCTGAAGCCCATGGGCAACGCCAAGCCTGCTGAGACCCTGAAATCCACTAGCAAAGAAGAACTCAAGAAAGACGTTAAGAATGATGTGAATTGCAAGAGAGGCCATGCAGGGACCACAGATAATGAAAAAAGATCAGACAGCCAGGGGACAGCCCCAGTCTTCAAGGAGAAGCTGCAAGATGTTCGTGTGGCAGAGGGCGAGAAGCTGCTGCTCCAGTGCCAGGTGTCTTCTGACCCCCCAGCCACCGTCACCTGGACACTGAATGGAAAGACCCTCAAGACCACCAAGTTCATCGTCCTCTCCCAGGAAGGTAAATGAGCGTGGGGGTTGGGGAAGAAGGGGCCTCTGTACCAGGGCCACTGCTAGCTCATGGAGCCTTGTTCTTGCTGACCCCTGTCAGCAACCCATAGCCTGGGTAGGAAGGCCGCACCCCTGTTTCCTGCTCACTCAAGGATAGGTCCCCGCTCAGGGACCTTGGGTACGTGCACCAAGGCTGGGGCTAACGGCTGGGATGCTGGTCCTTGTGGCACATGCCCACATCTCGGCGCCCATCTGGCAGAGCCCTCTCATGGCACCGCCACCTGTGGCTCCCCAGAGGAGACCTGAGCCTGAGTTGATTCCCAGCTCCAGCATGGACAGGGCTGTGTTCACAGGCTTGGAGGTGGGGGACACGGAGGCTGGAGCCAGCGAGAAGCTCTGAGTAAAGAGCTGTTTAGAGCAGCGTCTTAGGTTTGGGGAAGGGTGTGCAGTGACCAGGTGGCACAGAGCTCTGAGTTGGGGTCAAGAATAACTTAAGTCTTGATAGCATTATGGGTTTGAAAGGATCTGTCAGGAAAGCCAAAATCCCAAAACAGCCCCTACAGCACACACTCACGGTCAGACAGAGCTGCTCGCTTCCTAATTTGGATGAGACTTTTGTTTGCTGGTATTTCACATTCTTGGGTGGTGGGGAGAGGAGGGGGGCCCCAAATCCTTCCATCTGTGTGGACTTTTGGGGTCTGGAGTTTTCAGAGGGGCCAGTTTATACTTGGAGAAGAGATGGGGGTGACACAGGAGTATTTTCTCTGGACCCTCAATTTGGTTTGAAGTGCTTTTGTAAATCCCAAGTCTAGGTGGGAGCTCCAAGACCAACCGACCTCCACACCCCATTCTGGCAGCCAGCGTAGGGATAGGTTGCCAGCACGGAACAGAGTCCTGCCTGAGCTGATGCTGGTGGCTCTGGCCAGAGCCCGGTGTTTTGTTAAGGAGAAAGCTTACAAAGAAGCTCCTGGGAAGTGACATTTCACCCTTGAGGGGCAGAGGGCAGCCACAGAAGAGGCCGGAGTGGACAGGTCCTGTCAAATCTGAGTCAGCTGAGATGTCAGAGTGCTCTCCCCATGGGCTGCTCCCCTCCTTGTCCCCTGGCAGCACCCTCCCCATACCCTCCCTCACCTTCTAAGGCTGCCTGCCTTCCCCTCACAAGCAGAATGGAGCATTCGAAGATCACAGAATCCCTCTCAGCCCCCAGTAAGGGTCTGTCTTCCCTCTACATCTGAAACAGCACACCTGGAGCAGTTGAGCATGCTGAATCTCAGTGCTGAAGGAGTGAAGAGAACACTGGCTGGCAGAGAGAAAAGTGTGTTATTTTCTGCTAATGTGTTGACGCAGTAACTTTTCCATGTGGATGTCCTCAGATTGGCAGGGTCCTCCAGAAGTCATCTCCTCCATCCCCCACCTCTGCTGGCTCAGCCCCCCTCCCCTGAGGCATGGGGGATTATTGGGCTGGGGTGACACGTCCAGAGGAGTGGACACCACAGCCTGTACTGCTGCCCTTGTGGGGCTCTCCCACTTGGAAAGTCCTTGGTAAAACTGATTGGAAACCCTGACTGGGAGCATTTCCCAGGTCGCCCTATGGTGATCTCTCTGGGCAGGATGCAGGGTGTCATCCACCATCCTCAGGACAAGGTTGGGGCTGTCGCCTGGCTGTCTGATCTTTTTTCATTATCTGTGGTCCCTGTATGGGCTCTCTTGCAGTTCACATCATTCTTAACATATTTCTTGAGTTCTTCTTTGCTAGCGAATTTCAAGTTCTCATCAGGCTTGGCGTTGCCCATGGGCTTCAGGGTCTCAGCAGGCTTGGTGTTGGGAGGTTTGTGGCTGCTCCAGACTCAGGGAAACTGAGGTTAAGTCAGCTGGGGACAGCTGCTCTCGGGCTTGCATGGGGTTTAAACCCAGAGCCATCAACAGCAACTTACAAACAATTCACTTAACTAAGTGTTGTAAGGCAGACCCCAGGCCTGGTCTCAGAAACCCTTCTGAGCCATTACCCACTGTTTTCTTGCACCCTGAGTGCCTGCAGTATGTTTTCCCTGCTGGTCCCTGAGTGGTAAAGACCCTAGAGATCCTAGCCACTCCAGCCTCCCTTCCCATGGAAACCATCCCAGAGGGAACAATTCAGATCCAGAGCAGCAGCAGAAGAAATGATCCAAGGAGGGCTGCACACGGAGAGGAGAGAGACCAGGAGAGGTGGGAAGGGATTCCAGAGAGAGCCCCAAATCAAACTGCAAGATATCTTCTAAATATTTTTAAATTGTGTTTAAAGAATAGCTGACATCTGTCGAACACTACGTGCTAGACACTATCTTAGGCCTCTTACACTTTTCACGCATTGAATCCTCCCAACTATGACTGTACTGTCCACCTAACAGGGAAGTTATGTACCTTGCCCAATGCAAGGTGCTGGGGGTAACAGACCTGGGATTTGAACTCAGGTGGCTGAGTTCCCATGCCTAGACCACTGTGCTATATGACCTCTTAGTTAATTCCTATTATTTTGTCAGGATACTGGTGGCAGCTGAGAATTTGCCTATCAACAGAAAACACTAATGACTATTTACTCCTCGGTTTTGTTAACAATTGTCCGAAGGTTGAAACACTGATGGTGCCCCCAGCCTTGCCAGGTTTCTGGTATTTTCCCTGCAGTGGTGGAAGCAGACCTTGAAATGGGCCTGTCTTGCTTCAATACAGGAGAGTGCGTTGTCTCAAAAAATCACCCCCACCCTTTGTCCCTTCACTCACCAAGACTTCAAGAGCCCGGTGTTTTGTTAAGGAGAAAGCTTATCTTAAAGCCTTGTCTATAGGTCATCACTTGAGCAGGTCCCTCCGCAGGGAGTAGGGCATTCTGAGAGGTGGAGTGGGTCTTTTCTCAATAGATCTGGAAAGAGAAGACACACTCATAGTGATAAAATTGTTAGAGCCAAGTGCTGACAAGTGCTTTGAGTGTGTCGGGAGGAGCTGCTGGAAGTGGGAAGAGAGGGAGCTGAGTGCTGGACTTTGATCTAAGCCCTGAAGGCAGGCCAGAGGGGATGGGCTTCGGGGTGAGGGGGGAGGGTGGCCCACAGCAGCAGAGGCATCCTGCTAACAGCTTGTTCTGGGCTGGAGAGGACGACATGGCCCCAGTTTCATCCTATATCCTGCCAAGGAATTCCAGTCTAAAGGCAGTAGGGAGTCATGCGAGATTTTGGAATGAGGAGCACTGTACATGAAGCTCAGTTTAGGGGTTTTGGTGGACTCTGTGCCCAAAAGACAAGTATAGAGCCTACTGAAGTGGTCGGGAGGAAGACGGTGAAGCCTAGACTAGCATAGTAGCCACAACTACAGACAGGGAGTGACCAGTTCAAGAAGCAAGGATAGAAGTAATGGCACCTGTTGCCTGGCTTGGAAGGGCAGAATGGGGGTGGGGGTAGGTGAAGAAGATAAAGGAATGGAAGACCACTAAGTGTGGGTGTCTGAGTGGCTGGGGTCTCAGTGGTGGTGTCAGTGGGAATAAGGAAGCCGGTGGTTGGAGGAGATTTATAGGGGAAGGTGAAGGAATGGCTCCACTGGCCTCCCGTCCTGCGTCCTTCACGCTCAGCTCAGCACCTGCCCTGCCCCTGGCTTCCTGACTTGGAGCCCTTTTTGCTCCGCTGCACTGATCCCCATCCTGTCAGCTCTGCTACAAACAAGATTCACTTCCTCCAGGATGCCTTCCTGTTGTCACCCACCTTTGGCCAAAAGAGACTCTTGCACTGTCCCCTCCCCATCAACCTGTGTATCTGCTTACACTGACTGCTAGTGGACATGCTGTTTTTAGGTTTCAGGGGACTTCTCTGATGTCTGTAGCTTAGATAGGTTTCATAGCCCACAGACCCCCCCAAACAAGATTACATCACCCCATTTAGTTCACCCCCTTTCATGCTGAGAAGAGCAGAAGAGATCTGACGGCCTGGGCTGGAGTTGACCCCTAGTTGATTTGTGGCAGGACACAGACATGTGGAGGTATCCTTCCTCTTCCTGCACCCCTAGAACTGTAGGGCTGATGGGGTTCACAGTTACCACCAGCTGGGCCTGCCCTCTGCCCCCAAGTCTTTCCCCAGCCCTTCCGGGACATGCCTGTGCTGAGGGGTGGGAGGCCGATGGTTCCCTGAGCTGAGGGGAGCTCTGTGGTGGCCTGAGAAGGGCTTTATCTTTATGCTTTGTTTCCTGTCTCCAGGCCAGGCTCCTCCTCCTGGCGAAACACTTGTCCCAGTCTAACAATGAGGATTCATTTTAGTTGCTGTTGTGAATAGGTAATTCATTTGTAATTGCCTTCAGGGTAGAATTTTGCAAAGGCTTTTTAAAAACCCATGTAAGTTCATCCTACGAAAAATTGGTTTATGCAGCATCTACTATGAGCAAGGCATTATTCTAGCCCCCTTTGTTGTGTGCATAACCCACTTGAAGAACTCTGAATTTTCTTTTTTCAGAAACCATATATTATCTTTTTCAGTAGTAAGTTATATTTGACTGTTTGTGATCTTTTCTTACATAGATCCTACTAGATCACCTGCTACAGAAACACGCCTTCATCCTTCTCAGAATGACAAATATGTTTTACTGTGACTGCATTCCAGGCTCAGGAAAAACACTGGTGACAGACAGGGTCACTCCCCTCCGAGAGCTGGTGTGGGAGACAGGCATGCGAGTCGGCAATGGCCTTGTGAGCCGTGCTTTGACATGGATGAGCTCAGAGTTGGGAGCACAGAAGAGATCCACCTAGGCCTGGGTGACTGGGGGAACAAGGAGGACACCATGCCTGCAGGGGTGACCTGGAGATGAGTGGTACCATCTGGGCTTGCCAGGTGGGCTGGGTAGGCTGATGGGGGCAGTCCTATAGCAGAACCTCCAGGAAGCTACCTCCCTCCATCCACATCCCCTTCCTCCCCTCTGCCCTCAACTCAGAAAAGGAGAGAGCTAGGAGAGCTTCAGACCCAGGAGCACTTACTCCACGACAGCCCTGAGGGGCTCTCCCAGGCAGAGCTCTGCAGTGGTGCTGACCTTTCCCATCCCCCTCATCTCCCTCTCAAAATTCCCCACCAGGCTGAGGCTTCTCAAAAAAAACCTCTGGGAAACAGCTTTTCTTCTGGAGGTCAAGAATGAACTGTCCCACAGGAAATACCAGATTCTTCATCTGGGGTAGCCAAGCCTGCAAGCCTACCAGGGGGGCCTCCCCAAGCCCATGCACAAGGCCAGGGGTCCAGGCTCTGGGCAGGTTGGAAAAGCTGCCTGCCCCATGCCTTCACCTGGGAGAGGAGGCGGGGGCCAGGTCCACATGCCCCCTACTCTCTGTGTACTGTCTATGCAGCTTGTATCATTTTGACTTAGGGCTCAAGGCAGCTGAGGGACTGAAACTGAAAGAAAATCAAGGATTTGAACAGGATGTGCGTTGGGGGTGGGATATCTGTTCCCAAAGCCTTAGCCCCACCCTGACTTGAGGGAAAATTTCCAGACGGGATTGGTCTCTGCTAAGCCTCTGAGCCCCTCTAGTTGGGGCTAGAGGTCATCTTGGCATCCTCCTGCCCACCTAGATGAATGGAAAGTTCTCTCTCCAGGACATAGTTATCCTCATTCCCCACTCCTGTGCCTCACAATTCTTACTCTTATGACAGACTTCCTAAAATTCCAGCCTAAATCCTCTCCATTACAGTTTCTACAAATTCTGTCTCCTAACCACAAAGGGAAGAAAACAGAGTGAAGCCTTCCCAGGGGTTGGGGTCTATATAAGGGTATAAGAGGTTGGGAGTAGGGTGCAGATCAGCCCTCTTGCCACAGGTGGTTTATAGGATGAAGGTTTCTCTGTTAAAACATTACCCAGGTGGCAAGGAGTAAAGGGCAATATTACACCCTTACTTCCTCCTCCAGCCTTAGTGAGGTTTTCTGAGCAGAACTGATGTCATCTTTCCTCTTTCTAATCTCCTTGTATTTGCTGGTCAAGTCTGTGCATTTGTGTAATGGGGGGCAGGGACAGTAGTTGGTGTCCACCCAGAATGCACCCAGCTCTTCCTTCCCAATGCCAGCAGCTTGTGGGACATGAGATGGCAGCTCCAGGTGGCAGAGCGTACGTGGCCCTGGCTCTGTCCTCTTGTGTGATGTCTGCTGCCCTGACAACAGGGGCAGCTTTGAGCAGGATGCCCTGCTATTCACTTGCTTGTGCATCTGAAAGCAAGAACTGGGAACTGCCGCCCTTCTGCCTGGCCCAGCAAGCCTCTTTCCACACCCTGGGGAACCTCCTCAAGGTTCTCACAGAGGAGAAGTAACCAGCCCTGGATGAGAGAGCTGGCAGGGGCCAGGACCAGACCCCAGATTCCTGTGTGTGCCTAGCTGACACCTCCTTCCCCAAACCAGGCCAGAAGATGGTGCTGGGAGTGAAGGCAGGCCCAGGGGACAGTCCATGGAGAAGGAAGGCCATCCCCACTTCTCTCTGGGGCAACCAGAAGACCCAACTCTGAAGGGAGGCAGCCCCAGAGGGCCCCTCTGCAGGCCCAGTGCCCTTCATTGGCCGTGGTTCTCCAGCTCAGACACCCTTCCTAAAAAGTCAGCTCCTGGGGCCCTGGCTGTAGTCACCACCTCCCAACAAATCTTCCCACAGGCCAGTGCCCCTCCTGGACAAGTGCTCCTCGCCTCCTCCACCCACTTCTTTGCTCAAAGCTCCCTTTTCCAGAATGCAGTCACAGCATCACTGCTGTAAACAGAGTGGGACCCCCTCACCTGTCACTGTTCCTAACAGGTCTGTAACCCTGTGTCGGACTCCTTTTCTCTCTTGGTGACGACCAGGGGGCAGGGCCTGTGTACCTCTCCTTCTATTGTATTGGATGGTCTCCAAAGGCAGAGGCTATTTCTTTACCTTCTTTTGCAGCTTTCATTATGTCCCCACAAGAGGATTCTTTGGAGTAGGGGAGGAGGTATCAGGAAGGAACGGATTTAGGGATCAGTTATTTTGGACATGGGTTATAAGCAGAAAGTGCCCTGGCTTTGGTGAGGAGTAGGGGATTGGTTCCCACAAGGCCTCTGGCTTCTGGGCTCCCAGAGGCTGCCCGTGTGACTAACACTCACCTGCTGTGCTCCAGATGCCAGGGCAGGTACTATGACCACACCTGGTTCACTCAACAATTCTTCCTCCCCAGGCTCACTCTGCTCCGTCTCCATCGAGAAGGCACTGCCTGAGGACAGAGGCTTGTACAAGTGTGTAGCCAAGAATGATGCTGGCCAGGCTGAGTGCTCCTGCCAAGTCACCGTGGACGGTAGGTCATGCCCACCCATCACCACTACCCATACACGGGGGTTCCATTTCTCAGCCCCTCCCTTCCCTACCATGCCTTGCCTGTGAGACAGAACTGCCCCCAACACTACCCTCCCTGCCCAAAGGCATTCATTTTGGATGTCAGCCTATCTTTTGCCAAGAGAAAAAGAGACAGGAAGGAAAGTGGCAGCTCTACTTGATCACCTACATGGCCTCTTTCTTCACCCCTCCCTTGGCCATCCTGTCCCCCTCCCGGTCCTGACCCCCACACCCAGAACCTTCTGAGCTGGGAAGCTGGGGCACTGGGCAGTAGAAAAGACACACCCACAGGAAAATGACTACAGAGTATTTTACAAAAGCCACACAACAAACAAGTGTCCGAGCTGGCAGGACGGACCCAGCAGGGTCAGCCGTGAGGAGGAGGGAGCAGAGCAGGGCCCATGTGGGAGACTTCCTAGAGGAGGTGAGTTGGGACTAAGTCTCTGGATGGAGAGGACAGGCAGCCTCTGCCAAAACAAAACAGTAATAATAATAATAATAATACTGCAGAGGGAGGTGGGAGGACACGTCGGGAAGATAGCAGGCCTGCCAGGTCTTAGTGGAGTTTCTGTGTTAGGAAGAGGCAGTGCCAAGCTGCAAGGAACTGGGCTTTGTCCTAGGGAAATGCCAGAAATGCATTCGTGACTCTTTTTTCTCTCCTTCCTGAGGAGTGTAGAATTGGAGCCTGAGAAGTAGGACGAACCTCGTGATGATTTAGACGAGGAAATGCAATGGAGGGGGAGGGTGTTTCCTGGCGCATTTAGGGTCGAGCCAGGACCAGAACCCCATCCCAAGACTCACAACCCAGTATCATTTCTTTGTATTTGGCACTTACCTGGAAATGTCTCAAAAAGTCGTCTTGGGGAAATAGTTTCTTGCCCTTGAAATGTCTGATTAATAACCATCAGAGACACATCAAAAGCTAGTGTCCAAATAAGGCATCTTGAAGCCCAGCTTGCTTGTTCTTCTCCCTCCTGGGTGTGATCAGTTGAGTTCTGAAGTCCTAGTGTGTCTCACTGCCATTCCACACCATGTAGAGCCCGTGTCCTCATTCTGGACTTCACAGTCGGTTTCCTGATCACAAAGCTGAGCTCTATGGAACATGATGAATAGGAGAGAGGTGGAAAAGAATGTCTTTTTTGTAAAAACACAATGGCAGCACGAATTAATTGTCCATAGCCGAAAGGTAAGCTGAACTCATCTAATACTGTGTACTTCTCCTTGGAGATTTGTGCGTGTATGTGCTAGAGGGGCTCTGAGTCTAAGGAAGCAGACTCAATGGGTCCAAGTTTATGGTCAATTCAGAGGGGGCGTGGGACACATGTTTTGAAGTTCTGCACAGGGGATGCTATGGCCGATGACTCCTGTGTGGGAGTCTGTCCTCACCCAGGCTGTCACCCACTCAGATCACAGTCCTGCTTCTTTCTGTACAGGTGCTGCATTAGTAAAGTATAGCGTTTCTGGGAACTTGATCCTTGAAAGCCCACTTCTAATACCCCTCTGCTCAGTTGGGACTCAGCTAGTGAAGAAGTTCCTGAGCTAGTGAAGGAGGTCATCAGCTTTTGGAACCTCTTTAGGTCCTATTTGCATGGCTACCTGAAGGCAGGAGAGCAATTCATTCTCCTTATCTGTAAAATGTCAGCACCTTTTCCAGATCTGTTTTCAAGATGAAATTTCCTTTTCCCCTACTGAATACACTTGGGAATTCTTTTTTTTTTTTTTTTTTAAGGTTTGGGAAATTCATTCTGCAACTTAAAGGGCTTTGTTTGCCCAGAGTCTGCTGGCAGATTCCCTTGTCCGCTCCGCTAATCTTGATGACCATCATTATTTATCCCTAATTCTTTCAAACGCAGAGTTTGGCCTCCAGCTGCAAATTAGGAGCTAGGTCTTGGAGGAAGAGCTAGAAAAGTGATAGGAGGGAGCCCAGCTGAGATAACAGGACCGACTCTCAGTCCATTGGGTTTGGTTTTGTTGACAGAAAGGATAAGGCCAGCCTCTTCCCCCTGCTCTTCTTTCCTTGTTGCTATACTTGCAGATATATTAGCGTCCTGTGTGCTGGGTGGGCATTCACCCACATTTAGCTTTATTTTTTCATCAAGAGCCTCTCTAGGAAAGTGGTAAAGGACTGTGGTCACCTTGACGGCTCCCCCGTCGCCTTTCTATCGTCTGGTGCTCCACCCCACTGGCTAGGCTAGGTCTCCTGCCCTCATTCTGTCCCCTCATCCCCTCAGCTCTCCCTGTTCCCCAAGGCATCAATCATACTTGACTTGGGGATCCCAATGGGTTTGTGCATCCCCTGAAATTACAGGCAAAATGTTGCGTTATGTGGGTTGGAGCATCTTTCTGAAGAAAGGGGTCCGTAGTTTTTAGTCGAATTCTTAAAAGGAGTCATGAATCAGAATACATTGAAGAACTACTTGCCCTAAGGAGCAACAGTGACTGAATTTTCAAGCCCAGCCATTGTGTGGGCTCTTCCAGCGTGTCTCCAGCTGCAACTGCCCACCCGACCTCTGCACAGAACTAGGCCTTCATCCCTCTTATGGGGCAATGAGGTCCATCTCCACTAGGCGATGGGACTACAGCTGGTGCTGACTTCAGACTGGCTTCCTCAGCCACTCAGCAGGGCTGGCCTGGCCCCTGAAAGTCACTATCACTCACTCATCCTGTGCCAAACACCATCGAGACCATACATCTGAGGCCAACATATCTTTCAAAATCTCATAAAAATGAGGCAAATGGGGCTCATTGGCCAGTCCGCATTACCCACACTACTGATTGCCTCATATCTTAAAGATAAGGGATGTCACCTTTATAACACAGCACAGCTGGCTATTTTAATCATGTGTTTGGGTCTTTTTCCTAAGAGAAAGGGTGTTTATGTACTTTCTTGATTATGGTCATATCACCCTTCCTTCTGAACTCAGCAGAAGACAAGGGTTAACTTGTGCCACATAGAAGGAAGCTAGAACCTAGAGTAAATGTGGACTTGCCCGAAAACTCGTCCGGGAGGAGAACAAGCTGACCTTCAATGCCTGCCCTGGCCAGAGACTGTTGTGCACTTTGCATTTTTAGTCTCTGCAACAGCTGAGCAGGGTGTCTCTCTCAGTGAGCAAACCAAGGCTTACCAAGGGTCAGCTGCCTTCCGGGCCCCACAGACAGCAGGCGTAGATCCAGTGTTGGGGCTCCACCCTGCACGGTGAATTACAACATGAAATATCCTGGCAGGACTCAGTGTCTGGCTCAGAAACCTGCCCCTTTCCACAGCCTGGTGCAGCCTCCCTGGACAGTGAATTACCATGACGGGGCCCGCTCCCAGAGTGATCCAGACCTTCCTGAGTAACAGCCCTCCCTGCGGGGAGGTCCTTCTGCACATGGGACTCAGAAACCCCTTTACTCTCGTTCCAACCCAGATGAGCAGTGAGGAAACTAAGTCCTTCCTAGGCCAGAATCCCATGAGAGGAGTCAAAAAGCACCTTAGCCCCTCACTGGCTCATCCAGTCATTCTCAACTCAGGCCTCCTGTCCCCAGCCACCCTGGCTAGGGCACCCAACTTTTGGTACCAGTGAGACCAGGGCTTTGTGACTACAGAGGGTCATGCATGATTGTCATAGGGAGGGACACTCCAGTGGGTACTCATGCCCTCACTCAGTCATTCAACAAGTATCTGAGTGCCCACTCTTTGCCAGGCACTGCCGTAGGAGCTGGTTTTAACACAGTAAATGAAGTCGGAGAAGTTCCAGCTCTTGGGACTTTTCTAGTGGGAGAGAGGCAGTAATGCAGGTGAACAGCTGTGTCATATCCTCAGGTAATGTCACCAGCTATGGAGAAAGCAAAGCAAGGTAATGGGGAAGGGAGTACCATTTTTGGACGGGGTGGTCGCTGAGGCCCCTCTGAGGAAGGAACATTTGAACAGAGACTGAAGGAAGCCAGGGAAGGAAGAGGGACAAGGTGACAACGAGAGCATAGCCCTGAGCTGAGGACACTGTGCTTGAGGCATTTCAGGATGAGGCAGGAGGCCAGGGTGGTGGAGCCATGAGCAAGGGGCAGGATGGTAGGAAGTGAGGTTGAGGAGGACTGTGGACCAGATCCAGGCAGTGTTGGCTATGACCAAAAAAAATGAGATTTTATTCTAAGTGTGATGGGCCAACACTGGACATTTATGAAGGATCACTCATGTCCATGTGATGACCAGACCCAGGATGAGTCAGAGGGAAAGCAGGGAGCACAATTGGGGGTTGCCACAACAGGGGCGGGAAGTGATCAGATTCATAACCTCTTTGGCTATAGAGCTGATAGGAGCTGCTGATGAGCTGGGTATGGAGAGAGAGAGAGAGAGAGAAGTCAAAGATGACTCTTAGTTTTCATGGGGGGAGTGAAGATCAATGGTGGGGTGGGGGGGAGGGCACGATCAAGAGTTTAGTGCATGTGAAGTTTAAGATGCCCATTTGACCTCTCAAGCAGTCCTGTCACATAGGCAGGTGTTTAGATGAACCTGAAGTTGAGGGGGAGGTCAGGGTTGGAGGCAGGATATGGGGAGCCATCCACACACAGAGGCCATTCACTGCCCTGGGGTTGAATGAGGTCCCTGGAGAGTACAGAGGTGAAGATAAGAAGAGGGAGAGAGAGAGAGGCAGGGGCAGGACAGGGGCCTGCGAAGAAGACTAAGAAGGAAGTACTCCAGTGATATGGGAAGAAACCCAGGAGATGGGGGTGTCCTAGAAACCAAATGATAAGAACTTCAAAAAGGAAGGAATGATCAAGATTAATGTTCCAGGCCGGGTGTGGTGGCTCACGCCTGTAATACCAACATTTTGAGAGGCAGGTGAATTGCTTGAGCCAGGAGTTCAATACCAGCCTGGGCTACATGGTGAAACCCTGTCTCTACAAAAAATACAAAAGTTGGCTGTCTGCTGTGGGGCATGCCTGTAGTCCCAGCTACTCAGGAGGCTGAGCCAGGAGGAA